AGTAGTTGGGGCTGGGGGTTGGTATCTGGAACCATCTCAGCTACACAAAAACAGCTGTGGAGTGGTGAGGGGTTGAATCTAAAATCACCTCAGCTACTCAACAGCCATGGCAGCTGGGGGAAGTATCTGGAACTATCTTAGTTACTCAACAACAGCCATGGGGTGGGGTGGGGGAACATCTGGAAACACCTCAGCTACTCAACAACAGTTTTTGGGTGGAGGGCAGGGTATCTGGAACCATCTCAGTTACTCAACAACAGCAGGGAAGGGGTAGGGCTGGGTATTTGTAACCATCTCAGCTACTCAGAAAAAGTTGTGGGTAGGGGGGTGGAGAGTGGAGAAACATCTGGAACCACCTCAGCTACTCAATAGCAATAGTGAGGAGGCATCTGGACCTATCTCAGCTACTCAACAACATCCGTGGGTTGGGGTGGGGGGAATCTAGAACCATCTCAGATACTCAGCAACAGCTGTGGGCAATGAGGGGAGTCTGGAACCATCTCAGCTACTCAACAAGAGCCGTGGGGTGGAGGGAGCATCTGGAACCATCTTAGGTACTCAACAACAGTCATGGGGAGGGGGGTAGGAGAACAGGAACCATCTCAGTTACTCAACAATAGCCATGGGAGTGGTGGGAAGCATATGGAACCATCTCAGCTATCAATAACAGCCATGGTGGGGACAGCATCTGAAACATAGCTATTCAACAACAACCATGGGGTGTAGGGGAGCATCTGGAACCATCTTAGCTACTCAACACAGCAATGGGGGGATGGGGGAGCATCTGTAACCATCTAAGTTACTTAACAACACCTGTGGGATGGGGAAGAAGTAAATGGAACCATGTCAGCTACTCAACAACAACTGGGAGGTCAGGGGGAGTATCTAGAACCATCTCAGCTACTCAGTAACAGCTGTGGAATGTGGGGAGTGTCTGGGACCATCTCATCCACTCAACAATATCTGTGAGGGTTGGAGGGACTATCTGAAACCATCTCAGCTACTCAATAACAACACTGCGGGGAGAGGGGAGGGCATTTGGTACCATCTCAGCTACTGAACAATAGTGGAGGGGTAGGTATGGGAGCATGTGGAGCCATCTCAGCTACTCAACAACAGCTGTGGGGGGATGGGAGCATTGGAAACTATCTCAGCTACTCATCAACAGACGTGGGGTGGGAGGAGAGTACCTGGAACCATCTCAGCTACTCAACAACAGCTGTTGGGGAGGGACAATCTGGAACCATCTCACCTGTTCAACAAAAGCCGTGGGATGGAGGATGATCATTGGAACCATGTCAGCTACTCAAAATTAGACATGGGTTGGGCAAGGGGAGCATCGGGACCATCTCAGCTACTCAAGTCGTGGAGGTTGGAGGTTGAGCATTGGAACCATGCCAGCTACTTAAAATTAAAGATGAATTGGGCAGGGGGAGCATCAGGACCACCTCAGCTACTCAACAACAGTCGGGGGGTTGGGGGGAGTATCTGGAACCATCTCAGTTACCCAACAACAGCCATGGGGTGGGGGAGGGGCACTGGAATCATCTTGGCTATCTAACAATGGCCATGGTGTGGGGGTAGCATATGAGACCAACTGAGAAACTCAACAACAGCTGTGGGGGCATGGGAGCATCGGGAACCATCTTAGCTACTCACCAACAGCTGTGGGGTAGAGGGGGAGCTTCTGGAACCATCTCAGCTACTCAACAAAAGCCAAGGGGCTGGGTGGGGAGTGTCTGGATCCATCTCAGTTACTCAACAGTCGTGGTGGGAGGGAGCATCTGCAACCATCTCAGCTACTCAACAACAGCTGTTAAGGGGGTAAGCTTCTGGAATAATCTCAGCTACTCAACATCTGTGTGGAGTGTAGTATCTGGAACCAAGTCAGCTACTCAACATTAGCTGTAGGGATAAGGGAGAAGCATGTGGAACCATCTAAACTACTCAACAACAGCTGTGGGGTGGGGGTGGGTAGCATCTGGACCATCTCAGCACCTCAACAGCTGTGGGGGGAGGGGAAGCATCTGGAACCATCTTAGCTACTCAACAAGAGCCCTGAGGGGAGATGGAGGGCATCTCAGCTACTCAGCAATATATATGAGGGAAGGGGGTAGGGGAAGCATTTGGAACCATCTCAGCTGAGGGGAGCTTCTGGAATTGTCTCAGCTACTCAACAAGAGCCATGGGGTGGTAGTGGGGGGGGGGAATCTGCAACCATTTTAGCTACTCAACAACAGCTGCGGGGGTTGAGAGGGGTATCTAGAACCATCTAAGGTACTCAACAACAATCATGGGGAGGGGAGCATCTGGAACCATCTCAGCTACTCAATAATATCATGGGGGTCTGGCTGAGAATCCGGAACCATCTCAGCTACTCAACAACAGCTGTGGCAGGGGAGGATCTGGAACCATTTCAGCTACTCAGCAACATCCATGGCAGGAGTGGAGGGTGGGAAGGACTGGAACCATCTTAGTTACTCAACAATTGTGTGGGGGAGCATGTGGAACCATCTCAGACACTCAACAGCCATTGGTGGGGGGAGCTTATGGAACCACTTAGATAGTCAAGAACATCCATGGTTGGGGGAGCATCTAGAACCATATCAGCTACTCAGCATCCGTTGTGGGGGGAGAGCATCAGAGTTACCCAACAACACCCATGGTACGGGGAGCATGTGGGACCATCTCAGCTTCTTAATAACAGCAATAGTGGGAAGAACATCTGGAACCAGCTCAGGTAATCAACAACGGCCCGTGGTAGGGGGAGCATATGGAACCATCTCTAGTACTCAACAACAGCTGTGGGGGGTTGGGGGTAACATCTGGAATCATCTCAGCCATTCAACAACAGCCGTGGGGGTGGGGCAGGATGCATCTGGAACCATTTCAGCTATGCTGCTACACAGGGGGAGGGAACTGGACACACAGAAACCTCAGGAGACCCATCCTGACAGCTCCCGAGTTAGCAGTATCAGGAAGAGGATGGTTGATGGCCGTTTTCAGGAAGACACTGCTCCTTTGAAAATATACTCCCCCCACAAAAACAAAAATAAATACTCTCAAGGAAAGTATCATCGCTAAAGAATGTCACAATTTGGATTAAAGTTATTTAACAAAACAGAGAATGAAACCTTTATGTTGGGTGTAGTAGCAATTTTCTTTGGGGAGATTATACTTAAAACATTTACTTGGCACATAACATACTTATGTTAATCTTATTTTTTCCATTTTTGAGTTTTACACTATCTCATATTTAAACCCCAAACTTCAACAGATCCTGCTACGTTCATTTTAGTGCCAGATAAAAGTATCAGGTGATGGTATCTTCAACTAATTAAACACCAGAAATTGGGGTATGATAGTGAGAAGACATTTGAAAGGCCAAAAGCCATGTCATTTTAAGATACGTCACTATGTTAAAATAACAATTCCTCTCTAAGACAATTACTTTGATATAATGTAAAAGGCATATCAGCATTTAACTTATTTACTTAGATCTTAAGTCATTTTAGAAGTGTTATCACACAAGTACAAAAATCACGCTCTTCTTATTGGTTACTGGGAGACTACCCAAAGTAATCAAGTGGTCTAAGGCACAGAGACCCAATAATTAAGAAATTTTCACCAACTGAGGTATCCTGTTCTTAATAAATATAACAACAGGTGCTTGAAACGGGGCAAGTAGACAATAAGTCAAATACTCATAAATACTGTCTTTGAGAACACACTTAAAGTGAGATGATACGAAAAGAATTTCCTTACTTAAAAAGTCACTGCTATCCCAGTAGGTTCCTTGAAATAACTTACCTTATATGTAATATGCAGCCATTTGCATACTAAAAAAGTCAGCAGTATCTAAAAAAAAATTAAAGGGCAGAATTTCATGGGTGAATTTGAATCTGTAACTCCAAGACAGATGAGCATATTGATGTTTCACTCTGGAGCTGATTTTCTGCTCTGATAGTTCAGCAGTTTCTTATTTTAAAGAGACTTGGAAGAATCAGTAAATTTCAAAATACTGAATTCAACTGTCTCAGTCCTGGGATCCAGCGTAGTCATCAGAAGAAATGGGCCTGTGTTCATTCTTTATTTCCTTCTTTTTCCTATTCTTGCCTCTCAATCTGGCTCATACAGTTATACACGTGCCATGTGACGCAGGACTTAGGATGGTGTGAAAACTATACACAACACAACCCACAAGGGAAGGAGGAGGGGCAATGTGGTTCTATCCCCAAAACTGATGTACTAAAGGGAATCTGATGCATATATCTGTATTTCTTAGACTTACTCCTAATTCCAAAAAGGAGTCCTTTTGTTTAACATTTTCATAGGAAGTATTTTTAACTGCTTGTTTTTGAAGGTGCGTTTTAGCATGTGATTCGCTGTGCGCTCCTGTCCTGCACACGTCCAGTTGCTGCCACTCAGCATCCGTGTAAGGCTGCTGTGAGGACTCACAAGCAGGGCAGGGGCAAAGGCTCTGGACCCAAGAGCCACGTTCTGTGCCTGTCAGAGGCTCCCAATGGCGCAAGACCTTTTGGGAGGCTCACCAGGTGGTCAACAGCCATATCTTTCCTTCCTTCTCTTACCCCACTTGCCTTTCTGCCCCATCATCGTCTGTCAAGTTCCCAGAGCAAGAGGCGAGGGATATACCCAAAAAGGAAACCCACTGATTTCCTGTGTTCACCACGAACTGCCACATCACCGACTGGGCAGTTTGAGCACTTTTCTGGTCATTTCCATGAACAGCACAGTCCCTTCAGTTTGAACTTTACAACTACTATTTTCTACCAGGATGCAGTTTTAAAAATAACTTGAAAAACTAACTTGCACATTTCCAAACAGACTCCAAATACAGCCAATGTAAATATAAATGAACATTTTCTCAATCATTATTAATCTGTGCTTGATGGAATGACATGTTTTGTGAATTAGTGACAGCGTGGTAATACTTCACACACAATCTCCCATCATTACTAGGAACTAGGAACAACTGAATGTTGGGAGCAAAAAGCTTTCACTGACTCAGTGAGAACCATGCAGTCATCTGGGCCAGTGAAGAGGATAAAAAGTTATCCCAGTAATCCCTGTGGACAAAAATGTGACCAGGGTGATATAATATTTTGAAAATATTTTAATATTTGCCATTTTTTGTCTGTGCTATTAATATATACATTGATTTAGTAATAAATACACTGATATTACATAGAGTGCAATGTTTTTAGTATTCATAACTGATTGAAGTTAATGCTGCTATTACCTCAAGGTAGGAATAAATAAATATTTCCAAATTTCAAACAAATAATGCTCAAGAGTTATCACCAACAAAAACTGTAAAATAAACGTGCTGGGCACTATCTCTTGAAGTACAATTCCTGTAAACACAGCAAAACTCACTTTTCTCAGTCCTGACAGTTCACATGATGGCTTTAAAAGAAAATATAACATACAAATCCTATCACTTTTTTTTGCATAGGGAATGAATTAATTGAATTTTTAAATGCAGCAATCTTTTAATGAAATGTCATCATCACATAGCACTTGTTTTCTGAATGAATTCAGAACTTTTGAGCAGTAAAAGTGCTCTGTATAAGTTTATAAAATATGATTTCTGAATTTAAAATTTAACAGAAAAGTTTCCAAACGAGTCAAGGTCTGAGTCTAAAAGTCTATGTACATCAGCTACGACCCAGGAGGAAGTCCTCGCTGCGATGGGCACAGTGTACAGGGAGCACAGTGTCAGGATCGTTCCCTTTGGCTCCTCACAGAGCGTGTGGCTGACCACACGCACAACATGCCCTCTGTTTCTCATGCACAGGGCAGAGGGGTGAGGACAGACTGAAAGTACAGAATGAAAAATGGTACGTACAGTACATAAACAATGCTCTTTATAAAACAGTTTGCTGCATCCATACTCTTTTATAAAGTGCGATGTTACTTAAAACAGGGAAACATGTACCTTATTTTGTAGTAACCATTAAAACAAATTGCCAGGAAAGGGCAGTGCAAAATTAAAAACACATGTAGCTCAGCATGCATCTCAGAGGGGTCCCAGACCCAGAGAAGGGACCAAATTCTTCTATCTTTTATGTTACTTTTTAGGAAAAGATTAATAATAGCAGGTTAACATCATATGTAACCATAAAATAAAAACAATAAGTTAAAATCTCTCAAGAAATAAGTATATGCCACACATAAAATTCATTACAGAATCTTTTTGAAAACCGACCTTTTTCTCTGATAAATCCCTGTCCCAAGGGTGTGAATCTCTTCGAAACCCACACTGCCCCCAAGGCAAAGCAAAAGGTGTCATCCCACACAGGCCATCTCTCGTTAGCAGACATCAGAGACCCTGTTAATTTACAGAAACCCTGGCTCTTCCAAGGGCCCCATGATAGGTGGCAAAAAAGAACACGTGCTCTGTTCACAGTAACGTTTGTCCAGTGCTTTGAATAAGGATAACCCAACAGGTATTCCTGAAAAATTCACTAAGAGGCAGATTTCAGGAGAACCACGGGACACACTTCTGAGAACACAGCCCGTGCTGAGGGAATGGGAGGTGTGACGCTCTGATTGCACTCCTTCCACTCCCTGCTCAGTCTGAGAACTGGAACAGTGGCTCAGGGTTGCTGCTGTCAGCTGGGGGACCGGGCTGCAGTGCCGCAGGGGGCGTGGTCTTCCCGTGGGAATGGGAGGACGATGAGTGGGAGCTCTCACTGGAGCTGCTGCGTGTCTCGGTGCTGGTGCTGGTCCTCTTCATCTTCCTCCTCTTGGCCAGAGGTGCCTTATCGACATTCTGTAGGCAGAAGCCCTCTCTCCTGTACTTGTTAAAGGCCTGGGGAGAAGTAGAGAAGACCCGTGAGGGAGGGCTGGGCTTTGCAGCAGTCAGGACCCAGCAGGGACAGCTTCCCTGGGTAGCTGCAGCTCCTACAACCCTTCTCTCCAGGCAGCCTGGAGAGGATCGTGGGAAGAGGTCCCCGAGGGCCTAACTCTCACCAGCCAGCTGTCCAGGAGCCACAGATCAACCCAGCTTCTGAAGACACTACTGCTACATCCTGGTGAGAAACTCCTGACCGACTGGAAACTCCCGAAGTCTCTCATCGTCTAAACAACTCACCTCCATTCTCCAGCTGGCCTGTGTCCCAGCATGGAGCAGGGCTGATTCACGAGGGCCCCTCCCCTGCCCACTCATGGTCACCTGGATACACCTGGGACACATGACATGGCAGCCCAGCTCTGCAGACCTACCCGGCTCCTCTCCCGCAGCCTGTCTCCCCTCCAAGCCTTGGCCTGGGCAGTGTTGCAGTCAGGCCCGCAGCTGTCACCCTGCATCGTGTGACACTGAGATCTGAACTATCTGGGATAAGCTCTTGCCACTCATCTCTCTCTCTACACTTCGACTCTCCCTGCAGCTGGAGAAGCACCACCCTTCTCCCTTCTAGAAAGTTCCCTCCCGGGGAACTTTCTTTCTCCCTAACTCACATTACGCTGCACTTGACACTAATCACCTTAATATTCTGTGTACAAGCCATGATTAGGCCATGTCCTCTCAGCCTTTCACATATACCATCTGCACCGGATCTCTCTGTCTCTAGAATGGCTTATGCACTAAATGGTCATGGAATAAACGGCCTCAGTCCTAATGTTGATTTATGGTTTTTAAAGATAATGATTTATTTGAGAAAAATGTTCTAGTATGCACACATTTTCACTTCTCACTGGAAGTTTTCCACAGGTTGAGTGCAGGCTGTGTTGCCTCATGAACTCACACACCTCACAAGATGTTTTGTGGTTGGAGTGATGCTGGTACCCTCAGGACCTGCAGCTTATAAAGTGTTCATACCAAGAAGTGGTTTATAAAAACATGCCCCAAGATAAAGGGACTCATGTATTTCCTTAAATGCCATAACCAGGAGCCTGTCTCCAAGGCCACAGAAGAAGGACCTCCGAGTGTGGTTCCTATTCTAACTGCCCCACAGGCATGCAGTGCAGGCCTCACGTGGAAGGTGGCCTTCACGCAGGTGTGCACAGCAGCGCCTGAGGAGCCCAGGACATCTGGGGTCATCAGAGGGGTAGAAGACAGTTGGCCACCATCCTGGAGCCACTCGTTGTACCGCAGGCCAGACATCTTTAGCCTTTTGTTTGGATCGACTGTGAGAAGCCCTGTGGAAGTAAATGAGATATTTATTTAATCATGTCATTTTAAACATGTTTAAAACTACCTCAGATGTGAATCTCAATTATGTTTATATGACATGTTGGTTTCTGTAAAGCTCCAGTCTCCTACAAGATGAGGACATCTGCACATGCATCTAAACTTGCTGGCAGTCGCTGGAGCTAATGGCAAAACCTCAGCTGCTCCTCCTGGGAGGCCATAGGGAGCTGACTTTTCAGTAAGGAGGAAGCAACAGCCCCAAGCAGAGTGGGGCCCATGAGCCCCGAGCCGATAGGAGTACCTGGATCTGGCTCCTTCTGGATTGAATGTTAACTGGCAAACCAGGGGGCATGGCGAGGTGAGGGGCATGGAGAGGGAGACCAGAGAGGAACTTCGAGAAGACATAGACCCTGGGCCCACAACAGCAGGGACAGGGCAGTGGCAAGTGACAGGTGGGGTGGCTGCTGCCCGGGGGAAGGACTTGACCCAGGGAGCCCTCCCGGAGTGCACCTGCTGGATGGAGTAGCCAGAGTAAGGGGGTGCTCCAGGAACCATAGGCATGTGCACAGGAGGAGGTTGGAGGCTCGGCACATGTGGAGTCCCATATTCTGCCATCAGAGCTAGGGTGCCAAAGAGGCAGAGGCAAGTGGGCCAGGAAAGAGGGGCTGGCAGTGCTGAGCGCCAGGCCAAGGGGTCTGCCCTGAAGCTCACAGATCACCCCAAGGATTTCTCCCAGAGGTAAGGCATTGGTGCCTGTGGATGCTGGAAAAGTCACTCATCAACAAGTGGTGAGCAGGTGAGGTAAGAGGAAGGAGGCCAGGCAGAAGGACACGGCGGGGTCTTAGGAGAGATGGCGACAGGACAAAGGCCATAACTTGTGGACAGGAGGATGGGATTGCCAGGGGCCAGTGAGGCTGTGGGGACCTCTGTGAGGTGGGCAGGGTGAAGTGGTGGCACCTGGGCCTCCATGGTGACCTGGCTTCATGGAGTACCAGCCTCTCACGGAGATCAGGAGTGTGTGTGGTAAGGGACAGCCCATGGGCACTGGCTGGGTCTGGATGCGTCCGACAGAGGCAGCAGCAGCCCAGGGCAGCTAGGGTTGGGAATGCAGGTGAGTTGAGGAGGGGATTGTTCTGTTAGGAAGAAAAGGAGGCCTAGGAGCTGCCTGGATGCCTTCTAGGACACACGTGGTTCCTTGAGTAATGAACTTGAGGGCACACACGTGTGCAATTGCAACACAGCACATACATGTACACCACTAGCAGGTCCTTACCTTGGATCAGATCTTTAGCCTCTTGGGATACGTTCTTCCATGCCTCTCCTTCAAAGGAGAAGTCACCCTTTTTAATTTTCTTCATGATTTCCACGGCACTGGTGCATGTCAGATTCCCGTCATCAGACTGGAAGGGGACCTGCCCCGACAGCATGGTGTACTGTCAGGAAAGAGGAAACAGTACGGGTGACTGCCAGGACCCTGTGGAAGCCACACAGGACCCCAGTCGAGCTCGTTCGGCACCATTCACCAGCAACGGACTCGTAGTGCTGGGTTTAAAGAACCACGTGACTGCCATCAGAGTGCAACCAACACAACCAAGAGTTATAAACAAAGCGGTAGGGCTTATCAGAAGGTCGGAAACCTTCAGGCTGGCAGAGATGGCGCCTGGTCTTCATTGGGGCTGGGTTCAGTAGGTATGCAGAACAGAGAGGACCAAAAGGTGGCGTCACCCAACTGTGCAGGAAGGGAGTGGTACCAGCGAGAGGAGGTTGGTGAGGAGGAGGCTGACAGCGGAGGAAGCTGACAGCACATGGACCTGTGCTCTCCAGTAGCGATGGATGGCGGCATTTGTGCAGGCTGGCGGATGAGCACAGGGCCTGGCTGGAGGGGTCTGTGGCAAACAGTGACAGTGCTCCCAGGGATGAGACAGATGACTTGTGCTGCTCGTGTGTCTTCTCTTGATGGGAATGAGGCTAAACTCAACTGCTAGGCAGGAAGCCAGCATCCACCACCCTCAGTCACAGACCTGAGACCAGTACAACCTGGCTTCTGGTTGATGAGAGGACAAGCCTCCTTGAAGCAGGGACTCACCAGGCCAAGCAACCATAGAGAGTAAACAGCTCCCACCCCTCACATGGGGCCTGTGGCCAGCTGCCAAGATGTGCTGGGAAAGGGAAGCCCAGGCTTTTGTGAGACCTGCCTAGGTCCAAGTACTGACACCAAGGACCCAGTACACTCTCGCAACCCTTCAGTGCGAGTGGGATTTGCTACCTAGAGACAGATGGAGTTCTGGCTGAAGTCCACCCTGTAGTGCTTCCCAGTGGCTCCCTGACGTGTAGATTAAGAGCCATCATGGGAGGAAGTGCTGGGGGAAGCCCCCGAAGCGTCTCTGGCCAAAATCACACGTCACAGATTACCTTCAGACCTCAGGATCAGTGCCACAACGAAAAACTTGGAGGGAGCTAGGTGCTGTGGCTCATGCTTCTCATCCCAGCACACTGGGAGGCCAAGGCAGAAGGACTGCTTGAGTCCAGGAGTTCGAGACCAGGCTGGGCAACAGGACAAGACTTTGTCTCTACAGTCAATCAAAAAAGTAGTGCATGCCTGTAGTCACAGCTACTTGGGAAGCTGAGGTAAGAAAATCACTTGAGCCTGGGAGATCGAGGCTGTGGTGAACTGTGAGTATGCCACAGCACTCCAGCCCGGGCAACAGAGTAAGACTCCAACTCAAACAAACAAATGAACAAACAAAGTAACTAACTTGCAGAATTTGAGGGTTGTAGGCGCCATCATATGCCCCTTCAGCGTGGTCCCTGCCAAAACCAGAGGGACTGAAGTGACGACAGAGGACATGAGACCTCATCTGTGAGAGCCACAGCAGTGGCCACGTGGGATGTGTGGTCAAGCCTCCTGGCCCTGACAGGCATGAATGCCCTGGTCAGTGTCTTCCTGATTCTTATCTATGGAAAGATTCAAGCAGCAGGTCTCCATATGACAAGGTCAGCATCCCACGGCTGTCCCGGGTGATGCGGACTTTCCTGCTCTGTCGTAATAAGCCTGTCAGGACCCTGATCTTCATGATACCCTGAAGAGCCCACGCTGGCTCTCTACCTCCATCAAGACCTGGCAAGCAGGAACTGCCTACAGCTACATGCATGCAAGAGACTTTGGGGACTGTCACACTGGCCAAGAATTGAGGTTGCCATGGTCAGGGACACAGTGACACACCCTCCAGAGACAGACCGCTATGCTGGGTGCCACCAAGGAGGCTTGGGACTCAGGAGGCATCTTTGCATTCTGGAGGCAGCACACAACTGCACCTGAGGACGCCGCTCCAACCAGCTTCCCATGTGACCTGGGAGGCCAGCTTCAAGGAGGCTCAGAGTGGAGGCTTTTGCTACAGGTCCAAGTGGTTACCTAAAGCTACTTGGACCACAGGATTTGGCAGATTCGATAGCCTAGAGGCGTCTGTGAAAGACAAGAATGTAGTGTGGAGTGCCGAGAAGACTGGAAGGATTCTGGGGCAAGGTGGTGCCCTCCGTGGCAGAGACTGACTCTCCAGAAGCAGCTCTTGGGATGCTCTGGGCTCAAGCAGGTAGTGGAACAGTGAGTGTGTGCTGGGACTAGCGACACCCTGACTCCCAGTCAGCAAGGGCAGCAGCAATCCAGGGCACCATGGCAAAGGCACATGCAGCATAGCTCCGGTGACCCAGAGGCATGAGGACACACATGCACACGGGCACATCACCTATCTCAGAGGCACCAATACTGCTTCCTTAATCCCTACATGGCCCCACTAGGAAAGTTCCCTAGGGCCAGCAGATGAGCCTATACCCTCACTTGGTGGCAACTGGTGTGCAGGACACGACAGGCTCAGGGATGATACTGGCTCAGGGTGACACAACGTGTGTGGTGTGGACCTTAAGAACTGCACGGCACCAGTGCTGACGGGCAGGTGCCTCATGGGGACTCGGTGGGCACACAGTCCATGTAGAGAATTCATGTCCCCTGTCCCTGTAGTCTTAGGCCCTGCTAGCTGGACATCTCAGCCCTTGGGCTGATGTGACAATGGCACTCGGCCACACGTGCTCTGCACCTCCCTCCCTCCCACAAACCTGGGCTTGCACCCCTCAGTAAGGTCATATGATGGAAGCCATAACTTCAGGTGCTGCTCTCTGGGAACACAGACCAGAGTCTTTCCACTCCCAACTTTTTTACTATGCTAAAATATGTGTAACAAAATGTTCCATCAAAACCATTTTTAAATGTACAACTCAGTGGTACTGAATACATCCATGATGTCATGCACCACAGGTGTGCCATCAGCCATCTCCAGAACTCTCGTATAGCTGAAACCCCACACCCGTGACACTGTAACTCCCCACTCTCTCCTCCCCAGCCATCACCATTTTACTTTCTGTCTCTCTGACTGTGGATGCGCTCAGGACCTCACATAGGTAAAATCATACAGCATTTATCTTTTGTGGGCTATTAAGGTCTCCAATATTATTACAGAATTGTGTGTTTCTCCTTCAGATCTTTCAGTTTTTACTTTGTATACTTTATTGGTCTGACATTAGGTGCATAAGTGTTGTAACTGTTATGTCTTCTTGTTGAATTGAATCTTTTATTAACATATAATGACTTTGTTGTCTTGAAAACTTTTGATTTAAAGTCGATGTTGCACACTCACTTTCTTCTGATTAATATATGCATGGAATATCTTTCCCCATCTTTTTACTTTAAGTATGTGTGTATCTTTTTTTTTTAAAGACAGTGTCCTACTCTGTCACCCAGGCGGGAGTGCAGTGACATGATCACAGCTCACCACAGCCTTGACCTCCTGGGCTCAGGCAATCCTCCTGCCTCAGTCTCCCAAGTAGCTGGTATTAAAGGTGTGTGCCACCATGCCCAGCTAATTTTTAAAATATTTTTTGTAGAGATGGGATCTCACTATGTTGCTCAGACTAATTTCAAACACCTAGCCTCAAGGGATCCCTCCCATCTTGGCCTTCCAAAGTGCTGGGATTACAGGTGTGAGCCACCATGCCGGGCCTGTTTGTGTTTTGAAATCTAAAGTGATTTTTTGGTAGACAATATATAGTTGGATCATGTTTTTTAATCCATTCTTCCAATATCTATCTTTTGATTGGAGAGTTTAATCCATTTACATTTAAAGAAATTATTGATAAGAAGGCATTTACTTCTGCCATTTTGCCATTTGTTTTCTATGTGTTTTATAGCTTTTCTGTTTCTCATACCTGCATTACCGACTTCTTTTGTGCTTATTATTTGTAATGGAACAATTAAATTCCTTTCTCCTTTCTTTTTGTATATATTATATAGTGATTTTCTCTGTGATTATCAGGGGATTATATTTAATGTCCTCAAGTTATAACGCTCTAACTTGAACTTATACCAGTTTAACTTCAGTAACATAAGAAACTTCTGTTCCTTTAACAGTTCTCTGTCCCAACCTTTTTGGTTGATGATATCACAAAATTACATCTTTATACAAGTGCACCCCAAAACAAATGAATAATTCTTTGAACTGCATTAGTCTCTTATGTCATACAGAAAACAACAAGTAGGGTTAGAAACCACTCTTACAATAACACTAGCTTTTGTAGCTGCCCATGTACTCACCTTCACGAACACCCTGCAGGACTCCTGTAAGCATTTCTTGTAGGAAAGGATTAGTGGTAATAAACTCCCTCGACTTCTATTTATCTGGGATGTCTTAATTTTCTCTCACGTCTGGATAGCTTTGCCAGGTACAAGATTCTTGGTTGATAGTTTTTTTTCTTTTATTGGTCCATTGCCTTTCAAAGTTTCATATGAGAAATTTGCTTCTAACTGAAGATGCTTGTATGTAATGATTTGTTTCACTCTTGCTGCTTTCAAGACTCTGTCTTTCAACATTGTCATTATAATGTGTCTCACTGTGTCGCTTTCAGTTAGCCTTATCTTGAGTTTGTTGGGTTTCTTAGATGTTTACATTCAGGTCTTTTTATAAAATTTGGAAAGTTTTCAGCCGAAACACCAACTATCTCTTCCAGTATCACCTCTTTCCTTTGCTCTCCCTTCTCTTTCTGGGATGTACACGTTAGTTCTCTTGGTGGTTTCCATAGGCTCGTTCACTTTCTTCAGTCTTTTTCCTTTCTGTGCCTCACATGTGATAATTTCCACTGTCCTGATTCTGAGTTTACCAGTTCTTCTGCCTGAGAAGTCTACCTTTGAAACCCTTTAGTTAATTTTTCATTTCAGTTCACACATCTGTTCTTGGCTTTCCCTATGTATTCCTTAGACCTTTCAGTATCTTCAATACAGTTATTTTAAAGTCTTTGTCTAGTGGATTTGCCATGAGGTCTGTTTTGGGAAGTTTCTGTCGTTGTTGTTTCTTCCCTTGAATGGGCCATACTTTCCTGTTTCTTTGTA